CTCTGCGTTCCATCTCACTTTGCTTTCTTGGTGGAGTAGGTGATAAGGCTGCCAGTGCTGCCGCCTCACCACAGGTTCTGGGAAATAAAAACAAACAAACAAACCCCACAAAACCACAAACCAAAACCAAATCAAACCAGGGATCTGAAGAGAATCTGAGGGAGTTTGCAGCGGGGATTGCAATTCTAGAAGCATCTTCCAAGACCAGTGAAGAGAAGTGGTGTCTTTTGGGCACCCTTGAAGATAGTCATGCTCCTTCCTCCCTCATTGGATTACTTGTTTTTTCAGAGCCTTTAGGGAAGGCCTCTTCTGATTGGCTACAGCTTTCCCCCTGGTTTCTGAAGTTGACACTGTTCTGGTATGGTGTTCGCAGCAGGCTCGCAGTTCTGCTCAGCCTGTCCCTTACGAATGTTGAGACTCACCCTGTCAAATGATGAGCTGACAAGAGTTGAGGGCAAGACTTGAGTGGGGCCCCCAGATCTAGCTCATCGTGGAGGTCCGCATTTCCTACCTCTGCCTTCTGCATAAAATTACCTGGGAGCTTAAAATAAAAGTAGTGCTAGTATCTGAATCTCATTCCACACCAATTTAATCAGAGTTTCTGGGACTGGGGCCGAAGGAAGAAATATTTTCTTCTTTTGAAATGAAAGCAGCCTAGGGTTGAGAGCACTAGCACAGAAAATCATCTGACGCCAATAGTAGAACTCCATTGATGTTTATTTAATAGATGATTTTCAAACAGACTAAGGTTTTGATTCAAGAAACAACAATGAAAGAAAAACGAACCAGAAAAACCCCATCGTTGCCATTAAGTCAGTTTGCAGTCGGCAACCCTCTTCAGGTTCTCAAGCCTGAAAATCTTAAAGGGAGGAGACTGCCCATTTTCCATCCTGTGGATTCGAACTCCCAGAGATGTATGGCCTTTTTGGTTAGTAGCCCAACATGCTATTCCAAAGATGAGCGAACCTCTAAAGATCTTTCCATCTAATCTTATCAGCATTGCCCTGGATAAAGGGCTGGAACAGAACTGAGAAGTAATCTGTGTTCTAGAGTCATGATTTCATGCAGCATTGTATGGGAGGACAATTAAAGTAATAACTGAATTCTCCTAAAATAGAACTCTCATCTGAACTTGGCAGTTTTGTTTCTGAAACTGACTTGAATTCTTCACAAGAGTACAATGCCCGAGCAAAGCGATCAGACTTGTCCATCTACGTCCTTGTTAGACTCAAAGATGACTTTGAAACTCCAGTTTCTTCCAAGTTCGGGACATATACTGCCAGGGATACTGGCAGTTTCCCCCAACTTTGTGTTCTCCAGAAACACAGGAGAATGAAAACGGCTTCCCAAAAGTCAGGGCTCTGCTCCAACCAAGGCATTTTGCGTATGGAGAATTTGATGGTCAAGCATTTAAGTGACTCTTTCAAACTTGTCAGTTCCTGGAGAAGGACCTTGTGCTTGGAAAAGTTAGAGGGCGGGAGAATAAGAGGAAAACCCACAGCGGGACCGACTTCCCTTTGGCTTTGGCTAAATCTTGCTTTTTGTCAGCAGACCTGGTCTGTAGATTTGCTTCCAGTTTTAACCCCTCTGCTGGCTCCTTCCTCAGGCACCTCCTTGAGGCTTCCTGCTAATGTTATTACACCTTCAAGAAGAGAGAAGGATTTTTGTGATTGGCAGGTGTCCGCATGTCCTTTCTGCCCATCTTGCACATCTCTGTGCCAGGGAGTTGCTGTGCAGTGATTGATAAAAACTTCTTTAAGCCACCAAAGCAGAGTTGCTGGAGGAGGGAGCATGGGAGGTGATCGGCCCCAGCATTCTGCATGGCGGGGTGGGGTGGCAGTGCAGTGCTGGGTCAATGACACATTTCCAATCCTCTGTGGGAAGCTCAGGTGTGATTTCTGGCCAGCACATGTCATGTACAACATCATGTGTTTGTCATGGGAGGCTTGTGTGTTGCTGTGATGCTGAATGGAGTTCAACAAAGCTTCCAGTCTTAAGACAGAGTAGGAAGAAAGGCCTGAAGATCTGCTTCAGAAAAATCAGCCAGGGAGAGCCTGTGGGTCAGTCCTGGGGATGCTGTAGGAACTGGCTTGAGAGCTTTGTGACTCACTAGCAATTGACAGTAACAACAAACTGAAATTGGACATGTTTACTATGAAAGAGAAGCCCGCCCTCTGCTACACACTTCATCCTGTGTGACATCCGATCTGTTCTTCTAGTAACCCTTTATGACAGTAGAATTGTCCAGTGAGGTTTCATCAACTGGAATTTTTATCAAGGTTTACTCCCTGTGTAACCACGGGTGGGTTTCAACCCCCAACCTTTCAAGTTAAGAGCATTCAATCATGGAACCATGAGGACTCCGTTGAATGATTTTTTTATTACATCTAAGTTTAAAAAAATAGGTATAAAAATATGCTACTTGGTCAGTTCAGAATTGGATGCTATACTTCCATTGGCTTTATAACAGTCTTATAAGGCTTATGTTTTTAGCTCCCACGTGCAAAGAAACTGAGGCTCATCTTCACCATAAACAATGGTGAAGATCTCATTCTATTAATTCTCTTGATACAGGAAAAGGGAGTATTTGAGAATTTAGACTGAATCACTCTAAGAATCAAAGTAAACAGATACATTAAAAACAAAACAAAAAAACGATGTCTTCCCTGTGCACAGAAAATAAACCCACCATTTGGTGGGAGACTAGATTAGGAAACTAAACTAGGATACTAAACCGAACACAAATCAGTTGTCAGCAAGTTGCTCCCAAGCCCTGGTGGGCCGGTGTGTGAAGAGGAGAACTTGGTTCCTGAGGGTTTGTTTGATGTGTCTTTTGGTGGAATCGAAATCCCACCTTTTCAGTTAGTAATCCTTAACCTTTTGGACCACTCTGAGACTCCTAGAGTAGGGGACCAGGAGAAGGGAAGTTTCACTGTAGCTCTCTAGAAGATTTGGCAGGTTAACTTCCTTGGACCCTGGATCTCTCATTCACAAAGTTAGGGATTAGATGGACGGTACCTAAACCTGCGTTCAGCTCTAAAACTGGCCATGAACTTAGCTTTTAACTTTACCATTTTAGGACCCACAACCAGATAGGTCTTCCTGTTTGAGATCTGTATTTGGACTTTAAAGGGACCCTGGTGGGTGCCGTGGTTAAACACTCAGCTGCTAACCAATAGGTCAGCTGTTCAAACCTGCGAGGAGGATCTGGAGATCTGCTGCCGGGATGATTACGGTCCATGAAACTTCATGGGGCAGTTGTAGCCGTCCTGCAGGGCTGCTGCAAGTCGTTGTGCATGCAGCAGCCGTAGCTGCAACTTTTACACGTGCTAGACTCACATTTGTTTCTCAAGGGCTCACCTGTACCCTACGTCTTTGTTCTTTGTACATCTTATTTCTCTTAGAGCTCCTTTTGCAGTTGGAGGGTACATGTAATTCACATTTCCTGATTTTACTCCTTACCTGTCACACTGTCAACAAGGCTAATGCCGTCCTGGAATTGTCATGGCTGTTGTTTTATTTCCACCACCGTTATTATCCTCATCCGTTGCACTGATTAGGAGTGGAGGATCTTAGGTGGCGTTTCTGCTCTCCTCATTCTTAAATGGAATATGCAGTTCCCCCAGGCATTTTCTTTGCTTTTAAAAAACACCTTGATTTTGTTTGGGTGCATTTAAATATTGACACCTTCAGCTGGTCTGCATTGTTGAAAGTGCAATTCCATTTCATTTTGGATTCTCAACACCTGTGTTGCCTGTCTCCCCACACCTCAGCGCATTCAGGTGTGGGCTCACCACAAAGTACATTTGCATGAGCGAGGTGCTTGGGAAGGGAGCGTTTTGATCATTGGAGCAGACAGAGGAGTACGCTCAGTGATGGAGTACAATGTTTTTGCTTTCATTTGGCTGATTGGATTCATTTTGCCTTTTTTTTTTAGAATACGTCATTATATAGGGCTTCTTTTCTGAAGCTAGCTGGCTTGAGGGGAGCTCTTCTTTTTCAGGTCCAACAGGTGAGCTGTCTGTGCTGCAAAGGAGATGGAGGCCTGAAATTCCTGGTGAGGCTACTTTAGTTTTGGTTAACTCAGAAACTCGTCATTGCCGTCTGTAAGAACCTACTCACAACTGAGCTTCCAGTGGGTTTTCAGAGGCTGTAAATCCATAGGGGAGGATGTTGTCTGTCTTTATCCTGCAGAGCCACGGGTGGATTTGAACCAGCAGACAGGCATGGCCTTTGGCTTAGCAATACACTGCCCTCCTGACTATGTCACCAGGGCTCCCTCAGGTGGCAGAGGTCGTGGCTTTGTTGTAAGGACTCACATGCTCAGTTACCTGGTCACCTACCTGTCTGCTTACCTGTGAGACCAGAGGCTGTTGACTTGGGGTTTGCAAATCTTATTTTCTCCATCTGAGGAAGAGTTGGAGAAGGTCTTTTCAGACTGTAGATACTGCTGGTATAACCAAAACCTTAGCTTCCACATCTGCAAGTTCTGTGCCCTTGAGCAAGTTAAAGTTCTTCTTGAAGCTTCTGTTTGCAAATCTACAGGATGTTCCTGACACTCGTATCTTCTTTCGGGTGGGGGGCTTGTCTGTCAAGTAAGACTGTGTGTGTAAAGTTCTTACTGCATCAGCTTCTTGGTGCAAAGGAAGGCTCACTGCTAGCTGTTCATATTAACAGTAATTGTGTTTATCTCCCTGAATTCTAAAGTAGAGTTCTTGTAAAATGAAAATTGTCGTCAGCTGTCTCCAGTGTGTTTCTGTGAAGTGACTCAAACCAGCTGTCTTTGATTTGCCTCTGACCCATGGTGACTCCTCATGAGTCAGAGCAGAATTGTGCTCCGTGTTGTCAAAGGCCAGTGTTTCAGAAGTAGATCACCAGGCCTTTCTTCCTAGGCACCTCCAGGGGAACACTTACCTTCCACCTTTCATTTCCCTGGTGGACCCTTCGCGTGAATCCGTGGATGATGACTGTGACTCATGTTGGATTTCTCTCTTTTCCAGCACTGACAGAAGGCTACGTGGGGACCCTGCACGAGAACAGACACGGCAGCTCAGTGCAGATCCGCAGGCGCAAGGCCTCCGGCGACCCGTACTGGGCCTACTCTGGTGAGTGGAATTGGTCTGAACCGAATCACACAGGACGGTTGACATCCCATTAAACTCACTCCAGAGCACACTTCTAATCACTTTCATGCCTGAATTCTATTTGTTCAACTCTGTGGTTTGTTCATAGTTGAAGTAGTCAACCGTGTTTCTCCTCAAGGTTATAAGTACCTTAAATTATCTCTCCCACCTGTTTTCTCAGCCTGTTGTTCTTTCCCCTCAATTTGCATTTATTTTCTGAACTTTATATGTTAATGAGTTATTGTTCCAAACTTGTAATTTTCCAAAAGACCCAGCTTTTTCTGTTTTCATTTTGGTCACTGTGGTTTCTGAGGGAGCAAAAAAAAAAAAAAAACCGTAAGAAAGAGCATCCGATGGCAAAAATAGTCCATTATGCTTGAAGCCAGGAAATGCAACTTCATTTTCAAATTAGAGCCTATTGGTTGAATATATTTCTAGTTCTCTGCTGTTTGGTGTTCTGTAGTTCTTTTCATTGTTATTTTTACTTTTAGCTTTTGAGCCAGTGAAGAGAGATAATGCTGTGATTACTGTGTGGAGTGTTATACTGGAAATAATTTTCTGATTGTGTCCAGTGTGAAAAAGAAAATATCCCACCACAAAAAAGAAAATAAAAGGATATACAATTACTTCTAGATGATGCTTCGACCAACTTCCGGACCCCATCCCCTCCCCCCAAAAAAACCCAGACACCCAACTTTGATAGATGGTGTGTTATTACCCAAACCGATTTTGATGCTGGGGGAAAAGGATATTTGGAAAATGTATTATAGTTAACAAACATTATAGCTAATTAAAGAGGAATGCACTGGGAAGATAGACCTCTTTGGAAAGGACTTTGGCACTGAATAATTAAAATAATTCTTTGTGTTGAGCCAGTTTGGAGGCATGACAGTATTCGTCTTAATAATAAATCTGCTTGTTATGAAATGTTGTTGCATATAGAGCTGAAAGAGCCTTTCCATGATGATATGCAGGCTCTAAATCTGCGATTTTTACCTGCAAATCCTGTTACATATGTGTCAGTGTGAAATTTATAGGCCTGATCTTTAATTACACCTTATCTATTGGTTTTTGCATCCTTTTGTCTATTGATAAATCTCCTGCCCTTACAGGAAGAAGAGTCTATCTGTTTTGTTTTGCAGGGAACAGATAGCCATTCTGAAGTGCTCCATCACAACCAGTTCCTTCTCATTAGAATTATCTAATTAGAGCCTTTTGTCACTATTTCTGATAAATGGAGTAAATTGGGAGATGAGGGCCAGCATTCCATACATATAGCTTCTTGCCAAGACACTCCAAGAAAATCTATCATTTTGTATGCTGTAGCTCTGATCTCTGTTAGCAGGGGGTGTGAAGTGGCCTGCTACTTACACTTCATCAATTTAGAATAAGAATGTCATTGTTCAGGGAGTTGGAAGTTCGAGCCCATCGGCCTCACCAATTTCAGAGGGTGGTGAAGGGTTGAGAGACCGAACACGTCTCACTGCTTTGTTAAGGACGTAGATGTAAGTTGTTTCATCTTTGGGGTAGAGTGGTGGTTGGGTCTTTTACTCTTGAGTTTGCGGCTCCTTTTTGGAGTTCTTGGAGTTTGTGTGTGAATTTGGGTTTTATCTCTGTTGGTAGAAGGGCTAAGTGTTGTAGATAGGCCCTTGGCAAACATTTTCAAGCAAGGGACTGATGGGCAATATCTTATACTTTGTAGACCTCAAGATTTCTGTTGCAGCTACTCAGTTGTGCAGTTGTTGTGTGAAAGCAGCCCTTGATAGTACTGGAGAAGTTGACAGTGGTTTGATAAACTTGTCATGTGGGGAACCTTTCAGAGGGATTAAGGTGCTCTGGTGGGGCAATGTTAAGCAAAAAAAGGTGAAGGTTCACCCATTCTAGGCACTACCTGGGAGGAACACGTCAAGTCTGTTTTCCTAATGAATTACAGCCTTGTAAACTCTGGGACAGTTCTACTCTCTTCTGTTGGGGGGGCTCTGAATCGTAATTAGCCTCCACAGATTTGGTTGTTTGGGTTGAAAGACTGTGTCTGGGTTTATTTGGCAGAATCCGGGATAATACTTGCAAAGTATAACAGAGAAGGGTGGAAGAAGTATGAGACAAGCGATACCTAGTGATCCTGTATAATCATTATGCTCGACATAGTTCTTCCTGAGATTTCCACAGCACCAGTGTTGGTTTTCATGCTCAGTGGTGCACTGTTGATTCTTCTGTCAAGAACACTTGGTTCATCAGATCAGAGGCACTCCTTAACATTTGGCCAATAGACCCAGGGCAGGAAGGAGCAAGAGTTACTGCTTGTTACTCTTAGGTCATTAAACCAGCATCTTAAAGCAATATAATCAAATATGAGACTGTTGTGATGACCTTCCATTGGCTTTCTGAGGCTCTAAATCTTCACAAGAGGAGATACCTCATTTTCTTTCTACAGAGTGACTGGTGGATTCAAACTGTTGACATTTGGTTTGGCAGCCCAACATGTAGTACACTGTCGCCACCAGGGCCCGGACACGGTATATACTCCTAAATAGGAATGCTACTGGACAAGTTGTTATCCTGAAGAGTTGTTGTTTTCTGCTGTCAAATCAGAACTGATTCATAGTTGGCCCTCCAGGTTTTCAGAGGTAGTAAGTTGCACAAGGAGAGCTTGCTCATCTTTCTCCCATGGAGCTGGTGGACTTGAACTTCATGCTTTCGGGATGCAGTGCAGCTTCTTAATCTTCGGCCACCGGAGCTCCTGATGAATAGGACTGCTGGGGGAAACATTTTTAAATTTAGCAAAGGTGAAGCAGGTTGTTCTGAAAGCTTTATTCAGCTATTAATCCAGATTTTAATCTCATGACTAATTGGATAGATTTATCTTTGTTGTTCTTACAATAATGCCACCAGTGTGCATAAATGTTGGATCACATCTCAGCTTTGCCACAAATCAGGAGACATCTACTCATTCTGAGCCTTAGTTGTTTCATTTGTGAAATAGAAATAATTACAACTACTTATTCCAAGTCACAAAATAAGATAATGTATGTGAAAAGTTGAATTTGAATTTAGCATCTGGTATAAGACATTACTTGTTGCTGTTCTCGGCACTGATGTTATGATTACTGCCGATGCAAATGTTGTTATTGGAATTCTCTATAGATGGCCACAGTCAGTAGCTGAAGTAATACTGGGAGCCCAGTAGAACAGTTGCTGCAGGCCATGATCCATTTGATAGAAGTGGCTTAAACAGGTTAGGTCCTAAGAGCTTCAATTCAAAGGGTTTCCCATTTGGTATGTGGGAATGAGTGTCAGTGAGCTGTCCTCAAGTCCGCACACTGGCAACTTAGATCCAGCCACATAATTTTATAAAGTTTTACTGGAACCCATCCACTTCCATTTCTTTCCTTATCGTCTGTGCCTATTTTTATTATATCACAATGCAGCTCAACGGTGGTGGCAGAGACCAAATGATTGAAAAGCCTTGAATATGCACTTTCTGGCTGTTTAAAAAGAAAAGATTTCTGATTCCTGCACACGTTGCTATAGGCTGAGTTCTTGAACAGATGGTAGCCTGACTCACGTATGGAGCAGGTGAGAGATCTGGGAGATGTGCCCCTCCCTCACCGACCTCCTGGGCATTTTCCTTGTGTTGGAGCATCCTGAACAAGTCATCTAGTTAGCGTTAATAATAGTTCCATGATTCTGAATTTGGAAAAGATCTGAGGTTCACAAAGGTGAAGATGAGGGGGTGCAAGCTATTGCAAGAGCTGGAGTGCATAACCTCCTGGGCTCACCTTGGGTACAGTTTGGCTGAGGATACTGATTCATTCACTCTAAGGGAATTATTCTTCTGTGAAAAGCTGGTAGATTCGAACTGCTTGCCTTCAAGTTGACAGGGCAACTCTTTACCCACTAGGCCAACAGAACTCTTAGTGCTTCTATGTCAGATACCACAAATGAATGACTTAAACACATTTAAATCTCCCACAATTTAGGAGGCTAGCTGTTTACAGAGGGCTGGGTCTGAGGCAAGGCATTTGCTGTCTACATCTCCTGGTCCTAGAAGTTTCTCAGTGCATGAACCTATACCCAAAGCATGTACATTGTCCCTTCTTGGTGGTATTGAGGTTCCTCTCTTTTCTTCTACTGTTGTAAAATCAAAGGAGATCCAAGTCACACTCCAGGCAAACTCGCCTTCCTTCCTGTCAGAGCTGTGACCTGGCTAAGGTGCTGCATCCCACCCAAATCCCTTTGCAACTAATTGTCCATGTCTCAGATTCCACCATAGAATGACTTGAACACATTACGGTGGGATTAGAATTGACTCATAGCTGACCTTGAAGCAGTTGTATGGAGGCTGTAAATTGCCCATCTTCTGTAGAGCAGCTGGTGGATTTTGTGCAGTCTTCAGGTTAGCCTCACAACTCCCGAAAGACCATGCCACCACAGCTCCCTGTGGGATGATTACATAACTGCCTCTAAGCGTACTGCATTAACATCATAGAAATTAGGGTTTGCAATTGTTAGGATAATTATGCAATACTGAAAGCCTTGGCGTAGCCCCCTCAACACATCTGACATTTAGAGGAGGCACCCAGTTCAGTCTATGGAATTATCTGCATTCAGTGTGAAAGTAATATTAATGAAAGTTGTCAAATGGAATATGTGCCGTCGAGTTGCTTGCAACGCATAGCGACCCTATGTATAACAGCCCTAAACTCCGCTCTGTCCTGTGCCAATCATACTGTCTTCAACATGCTCATCCCGATTATCCCAGTCACTGAATCAGTCCACCTCATAGAGGGCCTTCTCCCCCTGCGCTGTCCTTCCACCTTCCCAAGCATGATGTCTCCCTCCTTACAGCATGTCCAAAGTGTGTCAGAATCCTTGCCTCCAGGGAGCTGCCCGGTTTAACCCTTTCCAGGATGAATCTGTTTGTTTTCCTAGCAGTCCCTGGTACCCTTAATACTCTTCTTGAGCACCACAGCTCAAAGGCA